TGCGGGACAACATGGCCGCCTTCGGGGTGGACCCGGCTCGGGTGATGCTCTTCGGCCAGTGTGCCGGGGGTTCCTCAGTCGGCTTCCACCTCCTCTCTCCCGGAAGCCGGGCCCTCTTCACCCGCGCCGCGCTGCAGAGCGGGGCCCCGACAGCCCTGTGGGTTTGGAGTTCACTCGAGGAGGCCCAAGAGAGAAGCCGGCGGCTCGGCCAGCTGCTGGGCTGCACCGAAAGCAACGACACCGCCCTGGTGAGCTGCCTGCAGGCGAAGGATCCTGGAGAGTTCCCCAAACACGAGCTCTCCGTCTTGTACTACCGGGATCTACTGGAGTTCCCTTTTTTGCCCACCGTAGATGGGGATTTTCTCCCTGATACACCACCCAGACTCCTGCAGGCCCAGCACGGCCAAGCTATCCCTATCTTGACCGGCATAAATGCCAACGAAGGCTCCTACATTCTCCTCTACGCTCTCCCCAGCCTCGGCGTGGAGAACACCAGCGCCATTGGCTGGGAGCATCTGCTGCAGGCGGTGAGGCTGATAGTGCCCAGAGCCCCAGAAGAAACTATCCGGGCCGTGGCCCAGCGGTACATCCAGGAAGTGGAGGGGCAGGGTAAGGCATCTTGACCGGCATAAATGCCAACGAAGGCTCCTACATTCTCCTCTACGCTCTCCCCAGCCTCGGCGTGGAGAACACCAGCGCCATTGGCTGGGAGCATCTGCTGCAGGCGGTGAGGCTGATAGTGCCCAGAGCCCCAGAAGAAACTATCCGGGCCGTGGCCCAGCGGTACATCCAGGAAGTGGAGGGGCAGGGTAAGGCACAGCACGTACACGGAAGCCGAGGTGGGGCTAAGTCGAAGGATGATGCGGTACTGGGCAGAGTTTGCCAGGAGTGGGTAAGGAAATTCCCCAGCATCCTCTTGTTCCCCCTCAGCCAGACCATGAGAACTGCTGTGACCTTTTGGACAGGTGTCCACAACTTCCAGGAAGCCCCATTTCAAAGCAGATGACTTTGGAAAGTAGATGATCTGTTAGGTTGAAGCCCCTGACCTAGAGCTGAACTCAGGGCACCTGCCTTGGTGCACTTACAAATTATTCCACACATAGATGGGAAAGATTAGAGGGAACATTTTGGTCCGAACCATCTCACTGATTCTCAGATTTGGAAAGTGGAGGCAGTTGTAAAAATCAAAAATATTAATATCCAATACTAGGGGGAAAAGTGGAAGCTGATAGTCATGAATATAAAGCATATATAAGGAACTGTAGCAAATTGATAAGGGAAGCAAAGAGACACATAGGGTACGTCTAGACTACAGGCTTTTGTTGACAGAAGTTTTGTCGACAGATACTGTCGACAAAGTTTCTGTCGACAAAGAGCGTCTAGACTACATTCAGTTCTGTCGACAAAGCAAGCTGCTTTGTCGACATGGCAGTGTAGACACAAAGGACAGTTTAGATGCAATAATGCCTTCTGTCGACAGAACTCTGTCGACAAAAGGCATTATTCCTTGTAAAATGAGATTTATCAGCGTCAACAAAACTGCTGAGTTCTGTCGATGTTATGTCGACAGAACTCAGCGGTAGTGTAGACGCAGGTTTAGTTTTGTCAACAAAAGTCCACTTTTGTCGACAAAACCCTGTAGTCTAGACACAACCATAGAGACCACATGGTCAGCAGAGTTAAGAACAATGAAGAGTTCTTTGAATATTCCTGGAACAACAAAAAAAAATCTGACTATGAGGCAGGCCCGTTACTAATCGGAAATGGCAGAATTATCTATAACAATGCAGAAAAGGCAGACATGTTCAGTAAATATTTCTGTTTGGGGGAGAAAAACTCAGATGGTATTGGTTCACTGCAAGGAGATGACAACTCTCTTTCTATTCCTTTAGTATCTCTGGAGGCTGTTAAATGGATGCTTCTAAAGTTAAAGGTTTCTAAATCAACGGGCCCAGATAACTTACCTACAAGTGTTTTAATAAGAACTGGCTGATGAGCTTGCTGGTCTACCAACCTTGATTTTCATTACATCTTGGACCACATGGAGAATTTGTGAAGAATGCATAATAACAAAATTGAGGCTAATTTATGAAAAGGGAAATTGGGATGAACCAGGCAATGTTAGGGCTGTAGGAAAATGGCAATCTACTCAGGGCAGCTTGTGGCTTCAATCTCATGGAGAATAGTGGAAGATGGTGACCATTTTTTCTTAGGGCAGCATGTGATATTGTCCTACTTAAAGGCAAGTGAGAGAGGCCATCTTAAGTGAGGGCAAATAGTGGTTTCAGACTCCCTTCCAGTTTAGATCTTCCTATGAAACCTTAAATGCAGTGGCCGTCCCTTTCTCCCCCTTCCTCCCGCCCACCATATTGTTCAGCTCCCCACACTGCCCCTTCCTTCCTATAAGGATGCCCATGTTCCCTGAGGGAAGCCTGTCTTCAATCCCATTCTAAACAATAGGAGACCGTGGCCATCTTTCTTAAGGGCAGTGTCTCTTTGGAAAGAGCTGTAGGCCAGTGGCGGCCATCCATGAGAAATAGTGGCCATCTTTATTAAGGGCAACCCGTAGCTCTCCCTTCCCTCTCCCCCCGCCCCATATAAGGAGAACAAGTGGAAGCAGCCATCTTCACTGAGGGCAGCCTCTGGCTTCACTCTCATTGGGAGCAATAGGGGATGGCAGCCATTTTGGAAAAGGACCCAACTTTGCAAGTTGGCTCCAGACTCTGGCTGAAGCAGGTCCCTGTCCCTACCCAGCCCAGGTACTAACCTCTGCGTACTCTGTTGAATTACTCCCTAGGACCCCCACAGGCGAGGGGGGCACAGGAGAGCCATGGCCCCGCTATGACCCCCTGAAACAGAACTTCTTCCGCATCCGACTCGAGTCATCCCAGGTGGTGGAGATGGAGCTCACCCGACACTGCAGCTTCTTGGCACCACTGCGTGCAGAGAAGTTGAGCCTGCCAGGTGAGACAGCAGCCCGGGAGGGCAAAGAAGGCCCTACCTCTGAGCCAGCCAATCTCCCCGCCCGGGGGTTGGACTGGAACTGGCGCCCCGTCGAGGAGAAGGACCGGATCATATTCCCATTTCCATGGAATCTTCCTGTAACCCTTCTGCCGGGTAGGCCTGGCAGTAACTAGAGCTGGGTTCCATATCTTGGGGTCCATCTCACACAGAACCGGCTCGAGCCCTCACCCGGTGATCTGGGAAATTCACACACCCCTGGGTGCCTCTGAGAGGCAATGCTTCCCCCCTCGCAAGCACTGAGTCTGAGTGTAGGAAAGGAACATTTAATGAAACAGAGAGAGAAGTCATACGGCATTAACTTGGGGAAAACACCACAACAGAGTTCATAACCCAAACATGAGCTAAGCCCTCCCTGCCCCAGCCAAGAATCACCTGAAGTCCAAAGAGTCTGACACCCCAAAAGCCTCTGTCCCTGGTCCGTGCCACCCAGAGTCCCAAAGTTCACCCGCAGGGTTTCACCAGTGGGTAGAAATGGGGGTGGATAGATAGAGGGCACGTTACGACACTCCGCCACGCTCCAACTGTCTCATCCCATGCCACCGGACGCTCCGCTGGTTGCCTGCCGCCGCTCCTCGCCTGCTGCCAC